GGGATGGATGCAAGCTCATCACTAAGACGAATCCCAATTTCAGGGAGTAATAGAGGAAGCACGTCCTCATGCACTGTTTAAATTAGGATTAGGTAACTAAGGGAATATCCACCTCCTCTAAGGTACAATGTTTTGTCTTCTTTTGTTTTGCTTACTCTTTGAAGTATCAGAAAAAGGACATCAATTTATGCCTTTGCAAACAGTGAATTTTGAGTTTTTTTTTTCTTTAAGTTGAAGTAATATAATAGGGACATCTTGAATTTACATATATGCTGGACTTTTGTTATTACATTGTAACTCATTGTGCCTGAGAATTAAATGGGAAAAAAATAAAATAAAAATGATTAAGTGCATTGCAGTAGATAATGGAGAAGAGAAAAAAAATCTCAAATTTCACAGTTATTAGAAAAGTTCTCCTTTTTAATGCATGTTTGTCAACTACCCTGGGCATATGGAATAGGGGACAATAACCGTAATAGTGTACTTAACATTCATATTAAACTAACTACTCCTCCAGTTCTTATGTTAGGAAGAATTTTTATCTCTCCAGTTTTCATCTTGGCATTTTTTTCTAGTATTAAAACCCTATCTTTCTTCATTTTTTCAAATTTCTAAGAGGCTATTATATATTTAAACCCCATTTTATGAATTAGGATTCTAGTACTCAGGGAAATATGGCTAATACATATGGCAGAGTTTTGTTGAGAAGTGATGTCCCCGATGCCAAAACCTATCATGTTATAACTTCAGACAAGTACACTTCCTATTATTCCTTGTGGCCGTTTGCCGTTCCTAATGGTTTTTGGCATGGAAAGTACAGCTCTACACTGACCACGTCTAACCAACTAATTTCCTACATCTCTATAAATATTTTTTGGCTCTCCTTGTTGATTCCCTCCATAGCCTGGTGTCCTATGCAAACATAATACAACTGCTGATTTCTGTCAGAAAGTCATTGGATAAGCCATAGAGCCCAAGAACAGCTACCAGATTTCTTAAATGAAATATTAATACATTAAAAATAATTCTTTGAATGTTGAGTTTTAGAGCTATTCCTTTGACCCAAAATAACTATATGGTTTAAACCTTTCTTTTCTTCTGTAGATGATACAATCTGCTTGGACCATTGTTGAAGCCAAGATTGGATCAAAACTTGTTTCAAGTAAAAACAGGTTTAACCTGATATTTGCTCTTGATCTTAACAAACCTGCAGTGTTGTAAAAGATTCAGTTAGCCAGATAGTTCTCATCTTTCCAAAGAAAATCTGGTTGTTATCAAAGTGTTAGTTTTTATTCTAGAGAGAAAGTATGCAGGTCTCGTTTGACCTTTATTAATAAATTCCCAAGACTCTGATTTTCGGTACTTTGTAGTAATTTATCTCTCTGTGCCCTCTAGTCACAAGGATTACTCAGGGCAGTTCAGAATATTGGCAGATGTTTTCTGTAAATGTTTTAGTTTTCTTTGATTTTGACTTTCTTTCTTACAGAAAAAAGGTAAAGGAGAGAATACCAGTGAATCTCCTCAGTTTCAAGGCAGCATTTGGGTAATACTGAGAAGAGAGTGAAGTAGAAGCGCTATACTAGATTTGTGTTCTAGAACACTGATCTTAAAGTGCGGGCATGGGGTGCTATTTTTCTGTGCAGATTCCTGACTAATGTGGTTTGAATCAGAGCCAGACAGAGCTAAAAGTATAAGGTTCGTGAAAAATTGTCACCTGTGCCCATCAACTTTTATTTCCTTTCCCCTAAACACAATTTCTTTGGTGTTTCCCATTCACAGCATCTTCTCATTGACCCCATTCCTACCTGATACTTACAGCCCTTATGTAGTTTCAGCTACCTCTGTGTGGAAAGGAATAATCTAATTAAGACAACTTGAAGAATCAAAATATTACCTTCTCTGGTAATATTTGCATGTTCAAAAAGAAGCTTTTGGAGAGGGCATTATTTAACCCAGAGAACAGATTTCAGATGGTTGAGTTTTAGGCCCAATAATTCATAGGTGGACTCATTTGGGGAGAAGAGAGCCAAGGATAGGTGAGATGACAAGGAGTAGGGAGGGAGGAATCAGCTCAGTGTACATATTTGTACTCTGCAACATTTGGCTGAATCCTATATGCTGAAAATTGAATTTAAACATTTGCGAACCATTCTTAAATCAAATTCATTCCTCTGGTGGTTCAGTATATTATCTAGATTGTTATCCACATGTAAATTTATATTTACCTCTATATATAAGAACTACATATAAACTTTAAATATAGAGTTAATTTTCATATGGAGTTATATGGTAATTATCTTCTATTTGGTCGTTACTATCTCCCTGTTACAGCAGTTACTTTATGTCTTCTCAATTTATGGTCAGCTAGCATTTCTAAATTGTGGCAGTCTCAAACTGTTTTGATTTACATGCTATTGTAATATGTTGGAGCCCTGGTGGCACAGTGGTTAAGAGCCTGACTGCTAACAAAAGGGTTGGCAGTTCAAATCCACCAGCTGCTCCTTGGAAATCGTATAGGGCAGTTCTACTCTGTCCTGTAGGGTCGCTATGAGTCAGAATCAACTCAACGGCAAGGGATTTGGTTTGGTGTTTGTTTTGTAAGGTGTTTGAAGACCGTGGGTGGTGCAGTTAGCTGCTATCCTAAAGGTTGGAAGTTAGAGTCTACCCAGAGGCACAAAGTAAGAAAGGCCTGGCAGTCTACTTCTGTAAAAACTACTATTGAAAACCCTCTGGAGCATAGTTCTACTCTGACACACGTGGAGTCATCATAAGTTGGAATAGATGCAGTGGTAACTGGTTTTTGGTTTGGTAATGTGTTTTAATTAAAAGCACATGGCATGTTATCCAATCACCTTTCCTTTCTTCCTGTTCACATGACTGGCAGCTTAAATGACTATGCAAAGGGTGGTGTAAAAAGCCCAGTTGAATTTGTTGACTTGCATTATCTCTCAGTGACATCCTCTTAAGAAGTATCATAATTTCCATTTTTTGATAATTAATTGAATCATGTTCTTACTCCGTGTGCTTTAGATATGGGTGGTTAAAAGTTACTTACTGTAAAAACTGATGTGACTTTCCTGCTCATTATTTGCTAATTTTAGCCTTTTGGTAAGATGGCACAAGATCCATAGAGCTCTACTCAGAACCTTAAAATTTATTTAATATTTCAATCATTTTCTACTCCGATTGCCTGCATTTTGCTTTTTCTTCTTGAAAGACTTTACTTCGAAATGGAAGATGCTGTAGAAAATATGTAGCATTATTGCCCTATACAGTGTTAAATGAAAACCTGCGGGATGGTCCATACCCAGTACATTCTTCATAGATAGTACAGTAAAGTCTTCATTGACCTGGGGACTATCAAATCATGTTGATGGAATGTGGTTTTTAATGTAACTGTCTTCTATTTTACCAGCTGCAGTCCCTATAAAAAGAGATTCTGTTAAGCTAGTGTCCTTGGTGCTCATGAGCTCAGCTGAGTGTATACGGCAGAATCTCTCAGCAAAAGAAATGCAGAACATATAATGCAGCTGAAAACATCAGTTTCGCATGTAAAACAAATTGGGTCAGATTCTACAATTTAAAAAAGATAATTTATTTCAACTTGAGTAGCATGTAATTCTATAGAGCCAAAGTTTATATAAGCATTTATTTCAACTTTAGTACTACATAATCCTATAGAGCTAAAATAGATATAAATTACATAATGCTTCCAGTTTCACTACTGTATTTTATACTGATTAACAATTAAAATTTTCTTTATTGTGTACAGACTTCGATGAACAGTATAGGTGTTCCAAGGCCACTGACTTAAGATAATTCTTTATCTAGTCTGTGCAATTGTAATATCACCAGGGATTTTGTAGAAGTAAAGCATCTGCTGTATTGAGAATTTCAAGATGGTATTGGTTCTTGGTAGGAACATTAGTTGAGCACTTTACCTGTAATACAGTTATCTTGAATAGTTGATTATTTTCTGTGAACATTTTATTGTGTTAATAGCAGTTCCCCAGTGTATGTGGTTTACTTGTGTTCCCAATAAGGTGAATAATTAGAAAGTGACATGAGCCAGTTTCATAAGATCCAATAGATGCTTTTCTTAAAATTGTTTTAGAACCACTTCATCCTTAGAACAATGGCACAGAGTTGTAGAGAATGTTACAAACTTTTGAGTGTATGTTTTTATGTTCTTAAAATCAACACATTTCTTAATTTGGAAGTAATTTGATATCTAATGTGGTTTTTATTATGCCTTATATTTGCCCCTGTTAGTTTGTAATGCCATGTTCTCTATAAATGCAAATCTTGCACTGCGTGCTCTTAAATGGCTTGGTATCTTTCTAGATCTCATTTTGGTTTATGTGTATCTCAAATAATTCGACAACTCAATATTTTGGCTTAGCAAATCCAAATCAAACTGTGGTCCAAGTAGCAGGCACTCACACTGGATGTACAGAGACTTGACAAGCAATTAGCAGTGAATATTTAAGCATCTTCATTACCCTTGCATGAGGAATGCAGATGGCATTTAGGGAGATGGCAACCAGAGGGCACTACTGTGAATTATGTTTCTATCATTAGGTCACCTGACTATTGGAAGACTTTCTCTGGGCGCCATGCCACTCCTAAACTTCTATTGCCTGGCTGGAAATAAAGCAGACATTCCAAATGTTTTAAAACAGGTTGTTTCCAGGAGATTTCTATGTGTATTTTGTGATGTGGGAAAGCTGTCTCCAAGGATCCCGGCACATATCCTTTAGGGATATCAAACCCAAATGCCAAGACTTTATAGGGGTTCAGGAGAATCAAAATTCCTTCAAAAATCATGCTCATCATTTGCTTCAATTACCTTGGTACAATGTGCTGAACACGCAAAGGTGAATAAATGAACATCCACTGCCTTCCAAAAGCTAATGCACTCTGTATGGCTCAAGAAAAGATATATTTGAATAGTTCTAATTTCCAGATTGATCTCTCATTAAAAAAAAATTCTTTTTAAGGAAAAAACAGCCCTGGAGAGTCTGACTCAGCAACTGGCGGTTAAACAAAATGAAGAAGGAAAGTTCAGCCACGCCATGATGGATTTCAACATGAGTGGAGATTCTGATGGTTTGTAAAATTGTTCATATATACGTATATATTCCAATGGTGTGCAGAAGTGTCTATTTCCTTCAATTTAAAATTACTGAGAAAAAAGCAAGACCTCATGCCTGATATTGCAGAAAGAGCCCTCATGTGTGAGCAGTTTCCACGTACCAAGTACTCTGCTGAGTGTTTTGTGTGAATCATCTCATTTAATCCCAAGCACAACCTGTGAGATAAATACTATTACAGATAAAGATACAGACTCTTAGGAATTTTGAATCATTTTTCCAAGGGCACGGGGCTGTAAGTGCCAGAGGCAAGGCTTGGATTCAAGACAGTGTGATTCTAAAGCTAATGCTCTCAATCTCCATCCACTCTGTTTCTTACCTTCTCTGTAGGGTCGCTATGAGTTGGAATCGACTCGATGCTAACAGGTTTGGGTTTTGGGGTTCTATTTCTTGTACCCAAAGCAAATTTTTCAGAATTTCATATCTACAGTCTCATTTTCAATTTTTTAATTGTCAAACCCTGACCAGAATACAAGTCTCAGAGGACATCTTCAGGATAGTTGGTTGCATTTTAGAACCCTTCATTCTTTTCCTCTCTACCACACGGTCAGGTACTCTAACTACCCCTCATAACCCAACTAGGACTCTAGCTGTCCAGCCTCATGCTTTTCTCATGTGCATTGAGACTTCTGTTGTCAGTTGTCTAAAGGAATGGACATTCTCAAAATCCACAGTGACATACTCTAGTTTTATTAGCACAGCAAAAAGGGTAAAAAGAAGAAAGCTCTGTTCCTCTTACACTGCGTCCTGACTGGGAACCTCTCTCCAGTGTCAGATGACGCACATTTTAAGAGTTTGTTTGGTGGCATAGCCCTCAACTTTGTTACCACTGCAGAAGTTCCTGCATATCAGGAAGGCTGCACCAGCTGAAACCAGTGAGAAGCATACTTTAGGGTGGAGAGGCTCCCCTAGAATGCCCCAAAATATACAGTTATCGACTGTCTGCCTTGGGCTAATTCCACCTTTAGGTTCACATCTGCAGTAATGAAGGGATTAGCCAAACTTGAGCTTTTCACAAGATAATTCAGTCAAAACTGAATTTCATGCAATAGAATATCCAGGAAAAATGTGTTTTCTGGCCTAATTTATCCAAACATTTGCTTCTGTTTTCTACTTCACTTGGGGAGGGTAAACCTAGCCTAAGTACATGCAAAGACCTTGTTTGGATTTGAAAAAGTCACATAATGTTCATTTTATTACTTATGTTGCTTTAAGATGTTAGAACAAGAAAAGGCAGATGTGCAAACTATCATTTTCTAGTTACAACCCCATTTTAGAAATATGTTGCCATATATTGGCACTCTTTTGTCAGTAAAAAGACAACTACTGATAATAGTGCATTTCATGAACTTTAAGTTATATAAGCATGTTAAAATATACCCCAACGTAACCAGCATTAAAGCATCAAAGTTTTTGTTGATCTTATTTATTAAATTCAGTCATGCTTGCATATAAAATACTTTCAAATATTCTTCAGACCAAAGAGCATTTTATGAATGTGAAATAATGGGAAACTCCACCAACAGATATGCTGGGTTTTTTTTCTGTGTTGCTATAGAAGTCTTCAAGCTTGGTTGATGTCCATTCCTTCAAATTAAGAAAAGAAAGGAAGAGAGGAAGAGGAGGATGGAGGAAGAAAAAAAGCAGTGCTTTTACTGATGATAGAAACTCTAGAAATTCCCAGAATGTTTTAAATTTTTACATGCTACCAAAATACATCTGCTGTATCTTTTGTAATAATAACCATGGAAAGCCTAGTGTCAGAGTTCTTCAGAATTCTACATTTTCTTCTAGTTCTTCTTGGCTGTCTTTGCATAAAGTCAAGTATCTCTGGAAGCTGTTTAATCTGCTGAAATCATTCTGAGAAATCACATAAGACCTAGGAGAATGGATGCAGCTTCCAAAAATTCCAATGTGACTCTTGGGTTGTGTTTTATTATCAGTGAATCTTGCTGTTTGAAAGGTAGCTACCAATGGGTCTCTTTGGATAACTGTAGATCTTAGGGGAAAAAATAAAGAGAATATATTATTTTTCACTTTAAACATATGGCTGTAGCTCTATTAAGAAACCATGATACTTTTAAGTATTCATTTGCTCTTTTCCACACCAATTCCAAACATCTTTTAGGGGCAGATTATAATTGTATATTTTGTGAATTTATTAACACATAATTTAAAATACAATCCAAACACCAAACAGGAACAGGAGAATATCTCTATTGTATTTTTTACCTCAAAATTTCATCTAGCAGTGTTTTCCTTTACATAACCTTAGAGAGAGGGAAGGCATGAGTACCGTATAGTCTGTCAGTCTTTAAGTAGCAGAGACATATCCTCACCTATAAGCATCCATTCTGCCAGGGGCAGATTAACCAGTAAGCAAGGTATGCACAGGTTTACAGTAAGCAATGTACGTACGGGCTTACTCGTGCTTACTTAACTAATCTGTAGTGCACAATTTCACCTGTTCCAAAAGCTAAACAGATTAGTAAGTAAGCATGAGTAAGCCTGTGCATACCTTGCTTACTGGGTAATCTGTCCCTGCATTCTGCAGAATAGACAAGTGTTTCACAGTTTTGTCAGCTCCTTTACCTGTTTAATATTATCTGCAGTACAAGAATGCCAATTGAGTTAATCTATTTCCAAACTGCATCAAAAACCATATACTATTTGAAGTTTCTTGTGTGGTCTTGAAAGTAAATGGTGACAGTCCGTAGTCCATTGAAAGGAAGGGGAAATACATATATTAGAAATGGATTTAAAATACAAATACAATATTTACCACTACTAGGCTTATCACAAAAACTTCATAAACAAGCATCTGTCTCAAGAACTGGATGTACCATTATCAGAAGCGCTTTTTATTTACGGATATTTTAATAGACTAAGAAAGAAAAGTCATCCAAGGAAGAGAGCTGCCAAAGTTTTGACACTAACATGAAGCAATGTTGCCTGTTTTTAGGAAGTGCTGGAGTCTCAGAATCAAGAATTTACAGAGAATCCAGGGGACGTGGTAGCAATGAACCCCACATAAAGCGTCCAATGAATGCCTTCATGGTGTGGGCTAAAGATGAACGGAGGAAAATCCTTCAAGCCTTTCCTGACATGCATAACTCCAACATCAGCAAGATACTGGGTAAGAAATGCATTCAGAGTTAAGTGATGTATGGGATAAATGTACTCTTCTGTTTTCTGCAGTTGAAAAGATACTGGTTTGTAGACAAGGGAGCTCTTTTTATCTGCAAGAAGTAAGCACCCTGACTGAGGCTTTTCTTCTGATAAGGAAGTAGTCTCTATTAATTGAGAGATGTGGACAATTTCTACAGCTAATTTCACTGTGTGTCTCCATACTAATTACTGTAATATTTTCTCTTCTTTAAGAACCTAGAACTATATTTACAAAGACTGAGATTAAAAAAAAAGATTCCTTTCACATGGGCCATTAGACCCTGATATTGACCATTTTTATTATTTTCCTTTGTAAACTATAGTCAGGTTATTAATCTTAAGGCCTTCAGACATTCTCATCATCCTTTTTAACATAACAACAAGGAGTTTTCTTTGTAGAATTCATCACATTGTGGTGGGGGTACAGATGGGGATGACTGTTGTTCTAGTGCCATCACTGAAAATCAGTTTAGATTCTTAGCACAAGAAGATGTAGAGTGTGCATTTTTTCAATTTATACTTTTAGTAACCATAGGCATAATTTTCAGCACTATTAAAAGGAGACTTTTTCTGCTATTGCATCTTTCGGCTTAACAGATAACAAAACACATATTTACCTTACATACATAGACATTGAAGTACTCATAAAAGATGGGTAGAAGAGAAAGTACCAATTATAAAAAGACCTATTATAGACCAATATAAGCCCAAGAAAAAAGGAAGGGAAGATTCTATTTCTTCTGTGTCATTCTCTTGACAACATCATCATCATCATCACCATCATCATCATCATCTTCAAGTAGTCTGCTGGCCAGGTACTGGGCAACCCAAACAACTTTTTTTATTTTTTTTATTTTACTTTAGATGAAGGTTTACAGAACAAATAGTTTCTCATTAAACAGTTAGTACACATATTGTTTTATGACAATGGTTAACAACCCCACGACATGTCAACACTGTCCCTTCTCAAACTTGGGTTCCCTATTACCAGCCTTTCTGTCCCCTCCTGCCTTCTAGTCCTCGTCCCTGGACTGTTGTACCCCATTAGTCTCATTTCGTTTTATGGGGCTGTCTAATCTTGGGCTGGATGGTGAATCTCGGGAGTGACTTTATTACTGAGTTAAAAGGGTATCCGGGGGCCATACTCTCAGGGTTTCTCCAGTCTCTGTCAGGCCAGTAAGTTTGGTCTTTTTTTGTGAGTTAGAGTTTTGTTCTACATTTTTGTCCAGCTCTGTCCAGGACCCTCTTTTGTGATCCTGGTCAGAGCAGTCAGTGGTGGTAGCCAGGCACCATCTAGTTGTACTGGACTCAGTCTGGTAGAGGCCATGGCAGTTGTGGTCCATTAGTCCTTTGGACTAATCTTTCCCTTGTATCTTGTTTTCTTCATTCTCCCCTAAGCAACTTTTTGATTATTCACTGTCTAGCTTCTAGGAGCTAAATTATAAAAATAGAACAGAAATATCTAATCTACCGGCAATTTTCAGCTTTAAGAAATAAGTAACAAAATTTGTTTAAATTATTTAAGATTTATCAAAATCTATAATGCATTGGGAATTACATATAGTTTATGAGGCTATGGTCCTTTCTGATACTTCACATCAAACTCATTATCTAAAAGTAGCTATTAAACATATATATGTGTTTTTATGATCCATACCCTCAAAAATGATAATAGATACTACCCAATCCACAATATACATTTGTAATAAGATAAAAACAAAATAGCCCTAGCTACTTAAATGTGTGTCTCAATTTTCATCAAAAACAATAGTGAGATCTTTAGATGAATGCCATCCAAAATGGTACAAGCATGTGAAACTTTAGGTATATATAGAAAATGTGAATATTTCTGTATAAAATTACATATCCATGCATAATAAAAAAGTGGAATTGATAAAAAGAGTTGTGGAACTGACATTTTTCTGTGTCTCTACCATCACTGATCTGTTTTCTTTATTTTTTTTGCTATTCTACCTTCCATATGAAAATTCCTATTCTTTTAAAAACACCAGACCTGTTTCCTTTGGAAATCCTCTAATAAACAATAAAATACTTGGAAGTAAACGTATTTTATACTTTAATATACCTGTTATCCCCAAATTAGAAACCCCCAAATATCAAAATTTAAAAAATAAGCAATTGAAACTCTTTAAACTGGCTGTGTATCATTTCATTTGTGTATCCGTACATGGAAAGTGAAAATTGCTGATTAAAACTTTATTCTAAGAGTAATACTAGTTTTCATGATATTTTCATGATGACATGAGATGATAAAAAGCCTTTGAGAAAAAAAGATCGCCGGCTGAAAGAAGTCCTTTCTAGTTTGAAGGAGAGAATATTAAAATGACCGTATGATTATATTGTAATAGGATATATGAGAGTGCTGCCTGATTTAAGTCTTTTTAATAAAATTGTATTAATTAGAGATACAGTGTTTGTAATCGGGGGGGAAAAACACTGAAGTGTTTTGGACCTCAATGTTTAGTCATAGCTTCAAATAAATAAATGATCTTCAAATAGCCAGAAATTTTTTTCAGCTGGCTCATTTCATATAAAAGTACAAAGAAAGCTTGATGTTTTCCTCTTTACTGATTGTTTGGGATAACAGCCTCCGACAGCATGCTGCTAATTCATTCTGCTTAAAACAGGCGCTTGAGCTGGGTTGACATTTTACGTAGTCTCTGGGGATCCTAGTTGACATTTTAAAGGGCTTCTAAGCATTTTATAATACCCTAAAATCTGGTTTTAATAAGCCATTCTGCTGAAATTGTTAACATAAGGAATCACCTTTTACTGTTTGGCACTAGATCAGGGGATGAGGGACATCTTTTTCTGATTAGATATACAGTAGTTGGAGTAAAATGTGCAAATTCATTACAGACCCCATGGAGATGACAATGCTACTCAGCCTGAACTCTTCACATTTATTGTATTGCTAGATTTAGAAAGGAAGAGAACACTTTTAAGGTCTTTTCTCCCCCCTTGTTTTGAACATTAAATATTGTTGATTGAATCTCCCTCTTTTGAAGTCAGGAGAAATACCCAAATGTCTGTCTCTGTCTGTGTCTCTCTTTTTTTTCTTTTTTTTTGGAAAAGGCCAGCCTTTTGAAAACAGCAGGAAACTACCTCCCTGTTCACGGGACCAGAATAAGCAACCAGCCATGCCCAAATCAAGCAGATGTTTTTGTCTCTCTTGGAGGTGTCTTTTCTCACTATTCTCATCTAGTGTGTTTTGGGGTTTGCACTGTAGCTACACACAGTGGTCATTGTACCTCAAAGCCATTGAAACCAAAACCAAATTTATCAGTTGGTTAATCCTATTCAAAAGTTATTATTTAAAAGTGAGAACTGCATTTACCACCAAACGAACCCTATTCTGTACTGTCATAAAATCGACTTGTTAGCTATTTTGCCCCAAGTAAGGCTATCTTCATTTTTATTTTTGAAAAGACTTGTAGATATTATATGATCATATTTTTAAATACTGCTTAGAATTTAGTGGTACTCCCAGATAAAATATATTACCAAGTGCCAAAATATTTTGTCATTCCAATTCAGGGCAGATTTGGAAGCCAACTTATCTGAGAATTTACACATTTTTTTATTACCTTATTTCTTTATATATATGTGTCCCTTTTTCCTCTGCATTTTAGCCAGGCTGGCTTTCTTTCATCTTATCCTCCTTCCCATCAGAAGGCTTTGCCCATCCTATTCCTCCTCCATAGTATGCACTTCTCCTTCTGACCCTGTAGGAGTCATTTCTTGGGTGAAGGCTTTTGACCAACAGAAGACTGATCTCGCTTCTTTATCTTATGCTCTCACAGCTTCCTGCACTTCCCACAATTACAATTACAATAATTAATTTTGTAACTAGATGTTTAATGTATTTCTCCTGCACTAGAATATAAGCGTCAGGAAGACAGGAACCATATTTGTCTTATACTCCACTGCATATATAGTAACCAGTACCAAATCATGCACATAGGAAAAAATATAAAAACAGTTCTCACGTTCCAAAGCAAATTAACTCTAAGGCATAAACATTTCTTCTCCTTAGAGAAACATATTTTATTTGACCTTTACAGAACATTTAGACTGATGGAAGAATCTTTGGCAATTTTTTTTTAATTGAGAATGCTGGTTTCTTTGTTCTTTTGGGGAGCTCAATGGCTCGTGAATACATACAAGGCCAACCATCCTTGATCCATTTTTCATTGTATTCGTATTTGGCCAGTAGATTATTTCTCGTAAGCTTATTTTCCCACTCCCTGATCTGAGATTCAAAAAATGGTATATATACTTGCATTGAAAAGAATTGATCCAGCTCAATAGTTTTTATAGCTTTACTTGTGTTTGTATTTGCCCTGAGAACAGCATAATGGCTTTCAAGTACCTCTAGAGAATAATGTGGGGCAAACAAGGAGTTTGAGACTGTAACTACAAATAATATAGCCTGACCAACTGACTTAATGTTAGACAATGCTTATTTAAACAGAAGTTTGAGGAAGGGATAAAAAAAGATGAAGCTCTATTATTGAACTATAATGTTAATAGATGTTGCAGAATAAAATAATATTGGCTATTTAGATTGAAATAAATTTATGTTCATAAGTCTAATACCTATAAGGATACACCCACCTGGCAATGTGTGTTCCTGCAGGAAACAATTCTGAAGGAAGAGATAGTGCCCCTTTTGCTGCATTACTTTAATAAATATAACAGACCATATTGAGGAATTCTCTGCATTTTAAGGGAAGAATTACTCAAAGTGAGATATTTGCATTTGAGAGATGGAGTTATGGTTGATTAATGAAACCGTTAAAAAGCTTTGAAGATCTTGCTTGGATGACTTTGGAAAGCAAATAAAGGCAGCAATACAAATATATAGTTGGTAAAAACAAAACAACAAAACACAATGCCATCTGGTCGATTCCAACTCATGGTGACCCCATGTGTGCAGAGTAGAACTGTTCCATAGGGTTTTCAAAGCTGTGACCTTTCAGAAGCAGATTGCCAGGCCTTTCTTCCCAGGTACCTATGGATGGGTTTGAACCACCAACCTTTTGGTTAGTAGTCACATGCTCATCTGTTTATGCCACTTTTATGCCACCCAGGGACTCCTATATAGTTGGTAAGGATCTCCTAATGCCAGTTATTTTTGTTGTTATGGCTCTCAGAAGCCCAAAGTGATTCTTCACATTTGGGTGGAGTTGAGCTGGTTACCTGCAGATAAACAAACTTCATCTACATGTAGACAGATTTTTCTCACATGGTTAATAAAATTAAATATTATTACTGCCACTTCTGTTACTACTACGCGTATCCATACTGACAGAATCAAAATTTTAAACCACATCTATATTGAGAATTAGCAGAATTGTTTAAAATTAAACTTGAAACAGTTGTTTTTCTCAACCCTAGTTGTATCTGAAAAAAACCGAAGAATGAAAAGAAGGGGAGAAAACATTTTGGCTTATCATTATTAGTGTAGACTATCTCACAGGAAGTGACGTCTTTACGTATTATTGAAAGTGATTTATTAAGTGAAAAATCTTAATGCATACTTATTTTAATTCTAACCTTCACTGGATCGTATATAGTAGGTGGGCATATGTACCTAAGGGGCATACATTGTGGCAAGCTTTAAATTCTGTCAGAGCTGAGTTTGAGTCACAGATCGCAATTTAACAGTTGTATAACCTTGGGAAAGTTTTTTCGTCTCTTTGAACCACAATTTTATCATCTATGAAAATAGGTATAAATGTTACCTATCTAACAGGCTTGTGGTGAAAAGTAAATAAGACAGCGTGTGTAAAGTTTTTAGCACAGTGCATGTTCATTAATATTATCATTTTAATTATGGTTAAAATTTTAACTAAATATTTCACCATTATCATTCATGTAAGCATACTTAGTCATTTAGGGGAGAATGAGAATTATATGTGAAATATGTTAGGAATCTTTGTAGTAAGTACTGTACCCCTACTTAAAAATACTGAATATCTAGCTAATTTAGTCTTAGATTCAAATATGTGATGAATTATTGCATAAAATTTCAGTTTACAGCTTAATTACAGCATGGTTTAATGCACAAATGAAAAATATAGCCATTCAATTATCTTTGAACTTTATATACAAGTTTGGCTAAATCATTATTCAAGCCAGAAAAATAAAAGTCTTATCCAGTGGTGACATATCGTTTTGGGCACTGTTTATTTGGGGAAGCAGCTACCAACAGCCCTGTGCTTGTAAAATCTCACCTCTTGAGTCAAAGCTCACCAGACAACAACATTTTTATATATTTCTGAGTTTTTGCTAACGTTTTTACTTAAGATTTTCTCGCTCTCAGTTATATCTCGTTTTAGGATGCTTAGCAACTAGGTAGATTGGAATCCTAACCTTCCTTTCTTCATAGGATCTCGCTGGAAAGCTATGACAAACCTAGAGAAACAGCCATATTATGAAGAGCAAGCTCGTCTCAGCAAACAGCACCTGGAGAAGTATCCTGACTACAAGTACAAGCCCAGGCCAAAGCGCACCTGCCTAGTGGATGGCAAAAAGCTGCGCATTGGTGAATACAAGGCAATCATGCGGAACAGGAGGCAGGAGATGCGGCAATACTTCAATGTTGGGTATGGGCCATTTAGTCATTTTCTCTTAGGGAATACTTCCTGATGTACTTAATGGGTAGCCAAACACATCTGGTTAGTTGCAAAGCAACATTTTTAAAAAGAATCTGAACGCGGTGTATTTTCTAAGGCTAACTGCCCCCATAAGATCCTGAGAAAAAATGCATGCGTGCTAATCCACTCCCAGCTCCTGGGACAATGGCTCTGACGTGAGCTTTGTTAACAACTGGGTTGAAAAACAAAGTATCTGAAAATAAATAATTTTGGCGCTTTGATTGCTAGTTCTTTTCCTAGTGGGTTTCTATTACTTCTAAGGTTTCATGGTGATCAATTCTACAATGACTAAAAACTTAGTTGAGACAATACAGCATAAAAAATTATTCTAAAAGAAAGAAACACTTGAATCTGAATATAGCAGGATCAAGGCATATGGGCAGCCTTTTTGGATCACAGTACTTAGTAGGGATTATATTTAGGGCACAGCAAGGTTGTGAATGGGAAAGTTCCATTCTGAATTGCAGTGCAGCTCTCTGATGGCAAGGCTCTCAACAGTGTTATAATATGCCGCCTGCAATGCATTACTTCCTCGGAATTTCCTCAAAAAAACACAGAACTAAAGTTGCTAGTATTTGAAACTGAAGTTAGTAAGATCCCAAGCACTTCTTAGGATAATAAACGCTGTTTTTAAAATGGCCAGAGGATAACTTACAAAAAGCTTTGTCGAATCTACCCCATTCCCTCCATTACTTTGAAATAATCCGTCTGCTCTGTCCAAGGGTCTATGAATTTTATCTAAGTAAATGATTCTTCTTAAAGCTGAGTACAAAATCTAGCACTTCCTGGGTAAAGAGGAAACATGAATGAAGGCATCTATAAATCCCTTTCTACTAGGACCACCTATATATTTTGAGGCCCAGTGCAAAATAAAATTATGGAGTCCCTTATTTTAAAAATTAAGAATTTCAAGACTATGACAGCAGAACTTTAAAGCAAGTATGGGACCCTTCTAAGTACAGGACTTTGTGTGACTGTACAGGTTGTATATCCATGAAGCCAGCTCTGCTTCTCACCCCTCCTAAAAGTTTTTCAGGATCCAGGTAGACAGTGTGATATTGTTTAGTTCTGGTGAGTTCTGGGCAGCAAGGTTTTATCTTGAGAGCATTTAGTATTTACTGTCTAAGGTTTTCCATCAAAATTGAATTATCTCTAGGTTTAATTCTGAAAAAAATATTTCCGTTTCTATGTATTATGAAGAAAAAGTACACTCTCGGAGTCAAGGACATGGGTTCTTCTGCTTAATCTGTCACTCGTTTGTTTTTTATGTAAATAGGATAGTAATAAAACAGGATTATTATAAGGATCAAATGGGTAATACGTGTCAATGCCTTGTAATCTATTAACCACTATATGGAAGTACAGTATTGGAATGAAAATAGGAAGCGATTTTAAAAATGTTAGGCAAAGGATGAAAATCAGTACCTTAGGGTTGGACACTGTGAGTAAATGAATTATCTAAGTAAGACCCGCATCCAGCTAGCTTTTCACGCATGGTCTCTTTTTGGGAATTGCCCTCTGACAGGCAACAAGCACAGATCCCCATCGCCACTGCTGGCGTTGTGTACCCCGGAGCCATCGCCATGGCGGGAATGCCCTCCCCTCACCTGCCCTCAGAGCACTCAAGCGTGTCTAGCAGCCCAGAGCCCGGGATGCCTGTTATCCAGAGCACTTACGGAGTGAAGGGAGAGGCGCCGCATATCAAAGAAGAGATACAGGCTGAGGACATCAACGGAGAAATTTACGATGAATACGACGAGGAAGAGGATGACCCGGATGTAGATTATGGGAGTGACAGTGAAAACCATATTGCAGGACAAGCCAACTGATAAGGTTCAAAAGATTGGTGTGACCTTAGGACTTAAAGAAGCCCTAGCTGGTTCATCCTTACCAGTGGCCAAGCACATTAACTTTCTCATACACTGACTGTTACTTTAACTGTTAGTCTTAACTAGTTGGGACATCAGCTGACTAATAGACCTCAGCCTCAAAAGGCTTGGAAAGGAAAAAAAAAAAAATACAGCAAGCAAACAACGATATCAACAACAAGAGATTGAAATAAGCTATGGGTAAAATAATGCCAGTAATTCAGCTGCTACATCCAAGCACTGAAGTCTTACCCGTCAACTTTTTTTTTTTTTTTTAATAAACTTTATGGCTGTTTGTTCTACAATGTTCTAGAAATTCTCACTCAGGTACACAGTGCCAACAAGTGGCTTGTGAATGTGTTTTGTTGTTTTGTGCTACAATTTTTAAAAAGAAATAAGTTTTGTTTTGTTTTGGGGGGGGTTCTGTATTTTTTTTCTTCTTCTTCTTTCCATTTCTTTTTCTTTTTTTTTTTGTAATGCACCTGACAGAAAAAAGAAAGATGAATTTCTCCTTACTTCTCCCCAGCTTCTCCATCTCTGTACTTTAAAGATGGAAGTCTGTGCATGGGGGGGAGGAGGGAAAAGAACCTGTTTTTAACTTCCTTGCTATCCACCACAAAATAAGCAATTATTTTCTTTAGAGGACTTTCATCTGTTGCACACCACACTACATCTTTGAGCAAGTGCCAAATTTGTGCTGAAGTGTTGACCCAGTTCATTTTTTCCCTTCCCTTTTTTCCTGTTCCTTAAGTTAGGACAGTGTTATATCTTAGACAATCCCTTGAAAAACCTGAAATACCAGCAGCTGGTGAGATTTGACTTTTTTTTTTTTTTTTTTTTCCTAATGGAAACTGTAGGTGCTGTTCTCAGGTGAAAAGAGAGAGAGAGACATGAGAAATTTAGAGAAAAAAATATTTTCTAATCTTGGATTTTTGTGTGTATGTATGTGTGTGATTATGGTACTAATAGGAATAATGTTGGACCATTGTGAGTTAAACCCACATCTGGGGATGAAATCCCACATCCTCCCAAGTGACTGGTCTGGAAGTAACCTTGACCTTGACTTTGCACTTCAAATGACAACTTAAACAATTATAGGGCTCAGAAATTATATTTTTAAATTTTTAATATGATTCTTATTGGATGGATCAGGTGGCCCTGTGTAATAGAGGTGTGCATGTATAACATGGAAGCTACTAGCAAACTGCTCCCAGATGTCCCTTCTCCCTGGCCAACTGATTCCACTAACATTTGCTACTTAATGATTTTTGTTTGTTTTTCCTGTTGATACTATAAGCAAAACAATCATTCTTTTTGCTGAATATATTTGACCATTTTCCAGAAATGTAGGTTTAGCTTATTTCTTCAACATTCCAGCCTTTCCTGACCAGGAAATGGATCTGCTGATTTTATAAGGTATTTTTCACTCTGCATGAAATGAGATGGAGGCCATTTGCATTTCCTAATTGTGGGCCATGTGCATTTCATACCAAAAAAACACAAGATTTGATTTAAAGTCATTGCAGCCCAACAAAATGGAGCCTGTCTCAACCCAACGATCTTTGCCACTACCCTTGCCTTGCTATAAGACAAATGCACCGGACTCCAACTTTTGATTCCAGCAGAGTATGTGCATAGAGAAACAACTGATAGTAGTGGGACTGCTTATTTAGGTTTTTCCAACCAAACACAAAGGCAGTTGTAGGGCCTGTCCAAATAAATGCAAAATCATTTAAAGTCAATTGCCATTATTTGTGTTGAAGCGTCAGATAGTAAATACTCCAACCAGTAGTTTGGATGTGCTACGGTTTCCACTCCAGTCATCATTTTTCTATCCCATCCCCCAAACACGACCCTAAAATTTGTTTTTTACGTATCAGTGAGAAAAAAAAAAAATCCATTTTATTTTTCTCTCTCTCAAAAGACTTGCTCTGGGGTTTTGCTTGGAGGAGTTGATCATATCCTGCATGTCAGAGATTTGTTTTGTTTGTTTTTCTGTTTGTTTTTGATGACTGTATTTTCATTTGAACTGCCTCTTTTTGATAGTGTTGTAATGATGATGATAAAATAATAATAATAATAGTAATAATAATAATAATGGTCAGCTGTTCCCAGATTAGTAAGTTATGTATAATTTATTTTATTTCTCCCTATTTTATTCTGCTTTGATTTGGAAGTGCAGCCAATAAGCTGTTAGATATTTAAAACTAATTTCCAAATATATATATATATATATATATTTGTGTGTGTATATATATATATATATATAGTCACACATACAGTTTTACTTCTCCTTCCGTAATTTCCCCCTTTAAAAAAAATTTGGCCCCAACAATGTCAAGTTCTGGTGTTTAATACAAAGGAGTTAATTAATGGGAGGGTCGTGTTCGATCTTAATTAACTTCTGCTCTCATCACTCATTTTAGTTATTTAATTGCCACAGTCATCTAGAGCCAATTTTTTGTTTTTGTTTTGTTTTTAAGCACTCTGGATAAGGAAAAATAATAGACACTTGTTTTTATATCATTATTATGTACAATGTGAAAACAGATTTTTAAAGATTTGTTCTCGGTCTTTGTTAACAAATTCTGACTTATGTGGGTTCACTTTTCACGTTTGCTGGATACTTATTTTACACCATGTTATAAAGATGCTTTGTTTTCATTTCATGACTTTGGGCTACAAGAATACTTTGTTTTAGCTCCAGGTAGATGCCACTGAGGGCATTCATAGTGGAAACCAATTTTAACACACTTACCGGTGAATTGACAAAACACTTCTGTTTGGTCTTTGGTTGGTTGATTTTTATTTTGTTTTATTGGAAAGGGAAAATGAAATTGTTAATGGTGACCTTTAACTGCTGAAATTCAGAAGTAAATTTTGTTTGGTTAGTGTATGTCAGAAAAACTAAACTGTGCATGCACTGAAACGAAAAGCCAGTCCATAGCCCTGCGTTATATTCTCTTGTTCTGAGGTTTAATTTACTGGGTATCACAATTTGTTTGCCTTGGTGTTCCCCAAAAGAAAACAGAAAAGTAATTATATTAATGTTTAAAGCGTTTTTAAGTCATTAGATAAAAGGTGCTATGAATAGCAACTTATTATTTTAATACTTTGTTTGACATTTGATTGATTTATAATTTTTGTAAAGGATTCTAAAACTTTGTATTCTTTTTCTGTGCCCCTTGATGACCGAAAAGATAAGGTAGAGGAAATAAGAGTAATATCAGACTAAAACAACCATAAACAGTCTCCCTCATCTTCCACCTACCCATTCAGCTCCCTCTCTCTCTTTCTCACTCACGCATACACACAAGACAGACAGACACACACACACACACACACACACACACACACATTCACATGCGCAATGATCCCAACACGGAATGTATAATCTTGCCAGAATTCTGGGATTTTTGGGTGTTGTAATCAGTCCCTCTTAAAATTGTTATAATATGAATCTAAGAGAACATCACTGGAGAAAATAGGTTAAAGTTGCTAGTTTATAAATTACTAATAATTTGGCTAGTTACTACAGCTGGATAAAATAGAAAATTCTTCTTCAGTACATTTATTCCTAAATTACTTAAGTCAATTTTAAAGTTTATTTTGGTATCTGTACTTAAAACTTAACCATGTATAAAAGTCCTCCCAAATAACATAATCATTACTATTGAAACCAAATCCTATTATAAAGAACAAATATAAAAGAGTTTTCTTTCATGAAATCAGTTCATAGATTTGATTTCTGGAGTAGAATTTTACCTTAACTAAATCAGTTTAAAGAAAAATTGTCTTTAACCATTTTATGGTCTAATTTCAGATATTTTTCTTAAATCCAGAAGCTGTTACTGTTCCCCGGAGAAGCCTCTTCTCTCACATTTAAAACATTGCAAATCATAACACGTTCATCTGTTTTAATGGGTAAATTATTGACTTGTAATACACAGCTGTATATTTACAAAAACAGGTTTATAAAATATTTGTGTATCAAGTTAATAAAAAAATAAAAATTAATGGAGTTTGCAAGGAAAAGTATGAAGCCCACTTAAAGTGGTTCAAGTATCTTTTGTCTTATAGGGCATAATTATTTCCTTAGTCAGGCTTTTACAGTATTTAATTTTAAAGTTACCTATAACCAGCAGTTTCCCAGGTTGAAAATGATGTTGTGTTGAGTTTTCTACTGATTGATTCCTGTCCTCCCCAGTGTTTCTGTCACTGGTTCATTAAACAGTATTTATATAGCTCCACTGGCTCTAAAGCTCTTAGTACTTCTAACATTCTGGATTTTACAAGTAAAAATGGAAATAAATGAATAGAACAGAGACAATCAAAGGCCTGGAGCTTAAAACAAAGTATGTGCAACCTACCATCTCACTTGAAATTTAATAAAATAAATAATTATGTAAATATAACATAGAGTTATAGATTTATATTTTGTTCATAACACATAGTGTAATATAAGTTGTATATTTTAATGTTTTGGGTTTTATGTTATCATTCATGCCACAATAAAAATAAAACAGGAGTTTATGGACTCTTTAAAAAAAAAAAAAGATGTGGGTTGCCACCAACCCTTTTTTTTTTTTTTTGCATTCTTTTTTTTTTTTTTTCCAGTATTATTGCCATGCAAGGCACCAATAAAAACAGAAAATGTGTTCTTTACCTATTATACTGTGTTTCTTTCCCAGTTCTTGTTAGAAAGTTTATAAAAAGAACAAAAGCATGTAAAATAATTTTGTTTTCAATATAAATAACCCCACCTATTGATATTGACTTTGAACTGAAAACTAAGGGTTTAATTCTTGTAGGAGGACATTACCACAAGGAGAGCCAGACCTTGTTACGGCGCATCTCATTGTGGCTTCACTGTAATGGCAAAACGCATCCTGCTTATATATAATCGAGTCTAATGCACTTGAAAACCCTACAACCTGATGCCCCTGCAGTGTTGTTTCCCCAGGCTTGACACTTGTCATTGGAGGGGAGCAGTGGAGTTTTATACCTCAAAATTGTGATTCATCCTGTTATTTGTATGGAAAAGTTCTAAAATGAAGATTATAAAATTACTAAGAACGATAAACAGCTTTCACCTCACTACTATCAAATTTTGAATAATGGATATTTCTGAATTTTTTAGCACTCTGATTCTAACCTCTGGGTTCTA